TTCAGTGTTGGTGAGGGGGTGAGTTCAGTGTCGGTGAGGGGGTGAGTTCAGTGTCGGGTGATTTCAGTGTCGGTGAGGGGGTGATTTCAGTGTCGGTGAGGGTGTGATTTCAGTGTCGGTGAGGGGGTGATTTCAGTGTTGGTGAGGGGGTGAGTTTAGTGTCGGTGAGGGGTGATTTCAGTGTTGGTGAGGGGTGATTTCAGTGTCGGTGAGGGGGTGATTTCAGTGTCGGTGAGGGGGTGATTTCAGTGTTGGTGAGGGGTGATTTCAGTGTCGGTGAGGGGGTGAGTTCAGTGTTGGTGAGGGGGGGATTTCAGTGTTGGTGAGGGGGGGAGGTCAGTGTCGGTGAGGGGGTGATTTCAGTTTCGGTGAGGGGGTGATTTCAGTGTCGGTGATGGGGTGATTTCAGTGTCAATGGTTAGATTTGCTAAGTGTCAGTGAGGGGGTGAGTTCAGTGTTGGTGAGGGGGTGATTTCAGTGTTGGTGAGGGGGTGAGTTCAGTGTCGGTGAGGGGGAGATTTCAGTGTCAATGGTTAGATTTGCTAAGTGGCGGTGAGGGGGTGATTTCAGTGTCGGTGAGGAGGTGAGTTCAGTGTCAATGGTTAGATTTGCTAAGTGTCAGTGAGGGGGTGAGTTCAGTGTCGGTGAGGGGGAGATTTCAGTGTCAATGGTTAGATTTGCTAAGTGTCGGTGAGGGGGTGATATCACCGTTAACGGTTAGATTTGCTAAGTGTCGGTGAGGGGGTGATTTCAGTGTCNNNGGTGAGGGGGTGATTTCAGTGTTGGTGAGGGGGTGAGTTCAGTGTCGGTGAGGGGTGATTTCAGTGTTGGTGAGGGGGTGATTTCAGTGTCGGTGAGGGGGTGATTTCAGTGTTGGTTAGGGGGTGATTTCAGTGTTGGTGAGGGAGTGAGTTCAGTGTCAGTGAGGGGGTGATTTCAGTGTCGGTGAGGGGGGAATTTCAGTGTCAAGTAAAGAAGCGTCCTGTAACATGTCTAGCCGGTCTCTTGACAAATGTCTAGGCAATATGTTAATAAGTTTCCCATCACATATCAATGAAAACAAACAAAACTTATCAATGAAGTTGTTCAATATTGAATAATTTAAAGTTAATTCCATGTTGCCAATTATACCATGACATGAAAATATAATATTACCTCCCTTTATCCCCAGTGCTGCCCCCTGTGCTGGTCCCTCGTCACACGGAGGTTCCAGACAAACTGCCACAGCTGGAGGACTATGATGCCATGACAGTGCCCGGCAACACAGATTTCCCGACTGGCAGCAATGAAATGTTCAATATACCAGGTAATTATCTCCCTTGATTTTAAAATGTCATCACACAAATTATTCAAAATCAAATACTTAATATTTGGGTTTGTATTCATTAAACCGTTCTCATGCTCAAGCATCGGTTTGTGCTCAAGACTTATTTCTTGTTCTAATGATTTGGAAAAACTAAATTTTAAGAGACTTTAAAGACGAATAATGATTTTTTGGTAGTTTGACATGATTTAAGTGAGTTACAAGAAAGTTGGTTACAGCTAAGTAACCAAGCTTAAGCATGAGAACATGAATACAGGTGCTTTTTCATGAGTAGCTAATTTTGCAATATTTGTGAGATGACGGAACTTAAATTTTTCATCATATGCTGGAAAACACCACACACTTTCATGTTAACATTTGTAGGGAGATATAAACACCCACATTCAAATTACAGAAAAAAAAGTCTTCAACTATTGTCCCAGTTTGGGATTATAACCTTGTTGAAAGGAACAGTGTACGTTGAAAGCTGTCAAATCAGACACTTTATGGACACAATATTGTCAAATCAACCGGTCTGATCTGACACCCTGTGGGATACAACATTGTCAGATTAACCTGTCTGATCTCACCATATGAGCCAGAACATTGTCAGATTTACTTGTCTAATCTGACACTCTGTGAGCAAACAACATTGTCTGACTAACCTGTCTAATCTGACACCCCTGTGATATAAAACATTGCAAGACTAACCTGTCTAATATGACACCATATGAGCCAGAACATTGCCAGACTAACCTGTCTAGTCTGACACCCTGTATGACACAACATACTGTTGACACAACAGACTGGTCAGATTTACCTGTCTAATCTGACACCCTGTGAGCCAGAACATTGCCAGAATAACCTGTCTAATCAGACACACTGAGCCAGAACATTTTAGATTAACCTGTCTAATCTGACACCCTGTGAGTCACAACATTGTCTGATTAATCTGTTAATCCATAAATTAACATGCAAGGATGGAAATACATTTTTAGGTCACCTGAGACAAAGTCTCAAGTGACCTATTGCGATCGCCTTTTGTCCGTCGTCGTCCGTCGTCCGTCCGTAAACAATTTACATTTTCGACTTCTTCTCCAAAACCCCTGAACCAATTTCAATGAAATTTTGCAGGGACCTTCCATGGACAAAGGTCAACAAAAA